TTAATAATTAAAGTTACTGAGTTTTTCTTCCTCACACATGGTTGATAAGTCACTGAGAATTAACTCTCAAAAATACCTATCCCGACTCTAGCTCTTACAATCTCACTCTTGCATTTTGAATCTCGTTCTTCAATCTTCAATCCAGAATGCCCCTAGAAAATCTTGTCCCAGTATTTATATGAAATACCTAGTCTCTCCATATTTGGAGGTTACCTTAGTGTTAATTGACAAATTTAAGCCTTCTATTTTTATGACGACAATTGTTGATCAAGTAACTGTACCAGAAACAAACAGATTGATTCCTGGAATATTTATGATGGTAACAAATGATTGAGTTTACTAAACACAACAGTTGCAGGCCTCTTGTCCATAATGTATGGAGGTAACTGTTGACAGAGTTACTTTACTAAAATCTCCCAGACTTATACACAGTCTAACCCCAACAGATTTATTGTAATAAATAATGACAACAAATGAGGTCTCAATTATCATACAAACTCAATCATTAAATCAAATCTTAACCAGGTGCCTTGCTAAAACTACAACAGTACCTACATATTATTAACATGGCAGTCTCAAATCTTATACTTACGTCTTAGAACCCATTGTGGCATTCTAAAAGGAAGATCACGTTTCGAAAAACATTCTAATTGATGATCCTTTCTGCCATATGAGGGGCGTTCGTTGCTAAAATTCCAGACATATAAAGTGTTTCTTTTGGAAACTACCTTTGAAAATGTATAGCAATTTTGACTGTATCCGTGCACAGGAAATAATATGCCTCTTAATCCAAACGTTTTGAAGGCTCCCGTAAAAGACAACAGAACAGACGCAGAACAACAAGACTACGTTTACACTATAACATGTTTTATAAGACAAAAGTAGATTCTCAAAGTTAAACGATTTTAAGTCATGCATGACGCGCCGCCCCTTTACGACTGAGTATTTACGGAGTTCTGTTACGGAAATGACGGACAGATATAAATACCGGCGCCCCTCCCTCATGTCTTGTGTTATATCTTGATGTTGTACATAACTGTATAGATTTGGACTATATGAAATAAATACTGTTCAAACCAAACATGCATTTATGTCTTTGTTACTATACTTATTGCAAAATGCTATAAAAGTTGCAAGAAATATATTTTAAGATTTTCAATCGTTATTAGAACTAGTTTTCATATTTAACATTATTTCTATGTCGTTTTTGCAATATTTTTATGTCGACAGAAAATGTATAATTTATACCTGGCCAATAAGAAGTAATACCATAGACATTAAAAAATCAAATTTGCTGACATTTCCGAAGTAAGTTTTACAATAAATCTATGTGTGAACTATAATATTTCGTTTAACTTACCATATGAATACGCTATAATTATTATTTTGTAATGAGATCTAGTGTTTGCAATAATACTTATTTCTTTATCTTTTTAAAAAAATGATTCATGTTTTACATATTTGCTGTGTTTATCTTTATCTGAAATTCTGTCATAGTCATAGTGGCATGGTTAGATGCAAATACTTTATGTCATTATTACAACTAAAATCTGCAGGTAGGAAATATACTTGTTACTTAATGTACTACACGTTTGTATAATCACAGTTTCTATTGTTTAGTATGCGACTTCGGTGAGAATACAAAGAAATCTCATTTTTCTTCTTTAAAAAAAGACGTTTTGAATCTCATCAATTCGTTATCAATTTGTAACATGTTATAAGTTATACAAACAACCGTTTATATAGAATCATATTATCGCTTACTTAAAGTATAGGTTTTTGTCATGACTCATTATTTTCTGAAATACCTCTGGTATCGCGCGATTCATTGTTACCGAATGAAATGTGTTTACGGTTGTGTTTTAGGAATAACAGTCTGTAGTCTATAATTAGAAAAACGTAATTTCAGTTTCGATTTATCCTTTCCTAGAGCATCGTTACGTTATCGTCGCAAATGAAGTGTTGTTATAAAAACTTCACAGGTGAACCCCCAAAAAGATTTTAGAAAAATAAGATTTGTGTAGTCTATAATTAAAACTAAGTATGTTTCAGTTTTCAAGGAAATCGAATACTTGACATTTTTTTGTGGCCAAATCTCATACCGGAAGGGTTTTGTTAACATCAAATAATTTCTTTATTTGGTATTTTAGTAAGGAAAAAAGGAAGACAATAAGCAACATCTATCAAGTATCTATAGATAGTGTTCGTATGAGGCACCCGTAATTGTTTGTGGCATGTATGGTGATATTGTTCATGGCCTCTTTCATTCATATTAAGCTAAATGACACAGAAAACAAAAAATAAAATCAGGACGAATGAAAGGATCGTAAGTGTATAAAAATAGAATATATGTAGTCTTTTACATTTACTCACCTTTTGTCTTTTATCAAAATATTATTAAACGTTATAATTAATATTTCCGTTGTTATAATGTATTGACGAAAAGCTTACGATATGAATACAAAATTACGTTTAACGAACAAAATCTATGCGCTCGAATAATTTATTTTCTCACTTTCACGCTAAATGATTCATGATCTGTGCATTAGCTTTTAAAACGTTTGATAAAAGCAAACATATTCGCCATAAAACCTTAAATAATTATACCTCCAAAAAAGAAATTTCGGAGTTATTTGGGAGGGTTAGCTTGTCGGTCGGTCGGTCCATTTCATTGTTTCCATTCGATTATTAGAGTTTGGAATGAGTTATTGCAATCAATATTGGTATATAATAATCGTATTAGAAAAATCCTGGCATGATTGCTTTTGAACCCCTGGGTTCAAGATGACTGTTATAAAAATAGGAAAAAACAATTCTGGGCAATACCTGTAGTTAGGAGTGTGATATTTTAATCAATCATGGTTTATAGCAAGCTTATATGAAGACAAAAGTTTTGGTTGCTTTTAAATCCCTGGGGTCAAAATCATTGTAACTTTAGTAGAAAAATGGTTTACGGACAGTAACTAGGGTAAGAAATATTATATTGAAATAAACCTTGGTATATAGCAAGCTTACATAAAAAACTAGGTTGGAATTCGATTTTTATACACTTTATACACTTGGCTCAACGTTGATGTCACTGTTGCTAAAAACTGTAAAATGGTTCCTTGGAAATATTTTCAGTTAGGACCGAGATATTTTAACCAATTTTGATACACTATAGCAAGCTGAAGTAAAAGAAAAAGGTTAGGATTGCTCTTAGACAACCAGGGGTAAGGGTCAGTGTCACTGTTACTTTAAATTGAAAAATGGTTTTCGAAGATTAACTAGTGTTATGAATGAGAAATTGTAATCGAACCATACTTTGTATATAGCAAGCTTTAATGAAGGCCCAAGTTGGCATTGCTTTTGGACTACCTAGGATCAAGGTCACTAAAGATAAATAGGAAAATGGTTCCCGGAAAAGAAATAGGATCGGGAACGAGATATTTTATTAAATCTTGGTATGTAGCAAGATAATATATGGGCAAATATTACGATTATTTGGACAACCTGGCGGCGCATCCGAGTGGTTAACGAGTCGGACAAGTAATCTAAGGATTGCTGATCGCGTGGGTTCGACCCACGTATGGGACAAGCCGTCGTTCTTTGGGCAGGAAACTTTACATTCATTGCTTAGTACTGTTTGGTTTCAGGAAAAGATTCAAAGGTGTTTCAATAAGCTTATAGCTTCCAATCCAATCGAACTAAAATTTATTTGTATATACTAATCTGTGGTCAAAGTCAACGACACTGTTACTAAATATAGAGAGTGGCTTCCGAAAAATAACTAGAGTTAGGAATGTGATATTGTGTACATCAGTCTAAAAAGAAGATCAAGTAATGATTGGCTTTGGATACCCTAGGGTTAAAGTCACTTTTACTAAAATAGAAAAATAGTTTCCAGACAATATCTAGAGTAAGCAATGAGATCTTGAAATCGTACTTGGTACATAAAAAGCTTGTGATTGCTTTTCAACCCCTTGGAGTCAAGGTCAAAGTCACTAAAATAAATATGGTTTCACGGACAATAACATTATCTCGTTAGAATTACATATTTTTTTAAAACATGGCATATTTCACACTTATGAAGAGATGAAGCTTGAAATAGTTGTTGGACCTATTAGGTTTAAGTGCAAGGTCATTGTTACTAAAATAGACATCTTTAAAGTAAATGTTTTACAAAGATACTTCTTAACAGATAAATATACTCTTAAAACCACTTATTTAAAAAAATTAGGTGGCGGTAGGGGTTTGAATCACCTTTAGTGATAGATCTAGTTTCAATAACAGCAACATCAACATTAATGCAAATGCCATATAATTTCAGATTACCATAATCACATACATTAGGTAAGATATGCATTGTTTACGAAATTGCCTATTATAAAGTATGGTCATATTGAGAGAGGAAGAGTGCAGAAGTGGAAAAAATACATATCCCTTTAAAAAATATAGGCTTGTGGTCTGACATATTATTTACGAAATATCTTTTTGAATGGACCATTAAGTACTACCGACTAAAGGAACTATAAAGTCTTCAATGAATCAAATCGGACAGGGATTAGTAACATTCGAAAGGTGATGCCACTTTCTTATACAGAAACTTGTGATATTTTGTTCGTCTAATATGTTGTTGGTAGGGATAATGCAAATACAATTAAAGCTAGATGAATATTATAATAAATTGCATTTTATGTTATTTAAATATTTTACAGATAACACACTGTGAGAAATTACTTTTTTACATTCTTGGCACACGTAGTTCTTGACTACATGTTCTACGTGACATAACAGTGTCGCTCTCATTGATATAATAAAGGGCATTTTGACATAATTAAGGCGTTTCTGAGGGGAAGTGATTAACATTGTGATTAGCTTAGCTAATGTAAATACTGCTTTTATTCGGTTCAATCATGTTCAATTCTGTTAATTTCACAGAAAGAAAAGTTGCATTTAGACAACTTCTTGCTGAAAAAAATGACATCTATTCATTTGATTCCAATGAATAATGAAACAAATACGTTTTGATAATGAGTTTATTATAATCTGTAATAACATATCTAATCAACAAAGTTGAACGTATTTTAGTCATAAACATGTCAATTATTTGAAAACATTGTATTTCTGTTTAAAATAAAGCAACCAACGAAATACTGATACTTTCTTCCATGTATATTACCAATACTGATATACTGTACATCACATTTCATGTGATATACAACATTTATATAGTCAGTAATCTTTGCGTAAAATATTCTAAAAATCAGCATAATTCATTATTGATTAATTATAACAATACATTAGTTTAGTCAAAATCTTATATTTTGCAATACCAATCAAATGTAAATGTTTACATATCTTTAATGACAAAACAAAAATAATATGAAAAATAAACATAAAAGTGGGCGGAGTCAGAGGTCAAATTTATGTTTGGGACTAATTTCTCAGATGTTAAATGTAGCAGTCAGTAGCTTAAGCTATTTATTTGACTTTCAGATATTATTTGGTAATGTTTTCTTTCTTAAGACAGTTCAAGATTTTTTTTAAAACGCCGCACACACCTATAAATTGTTATCGATACCTGCGCGATGTTCATTTGCAACTACGTAGCTGTAAACAATATTTGAGCCGTTTCCCGACAAAACCAACATAGTGCGTATGCGACCAGCATGGACCCAGACCAGCCTTCGCATCCGCTCAGTCTTGTCATGACACGGCTCATTTATTGATTGTTGTTTTTTTCTTTTTTTTTCTTGAAAATCAGATTGAATAAAAAGTTGTATTTTTACGTTTATTGTGAAATATAAAATTAAATCAAGTTTCGTTTCGTGAAAATTTATTCCATATTTTACTCAATTGAGAAAATATCATATTAATAATGAACACATCACGTGCATGTGCATACTACAGTTTGGTTAGCCTTATATACTGACGTTTTAAGAAATAATTGACGAATTGGTATTTTAAACAAATTTGAAAAACAAAGTTTTCAAAAAAACAAAACACAACATATCTATAGATTATTCAAAGACACATATGTTGTGTTAACATCAAGATAAATGTCTTTACAAACATAACAATTGTATTTCCATCCATTTTATCATCATTATTATTGTTATTATAAATAATTATCTTTATTTTTGCTTAATTCATATCTAATATAATCATAGCTAATGATTATAATAATAAAAATAATACATGTTCCATAAAACAAAATATTTTATAAACCACAATTATTTAAACAAATAATTTCAGGAAGAGTTTTGAAATTTATTAAACTCACTTACAATGATTTAGATAGTACATACCTCAGTTTAGTTCATGTATGTACATGTAGTTTATGATAATTGCATAACGCAAGCATATCTAGAATGGTATAAGTTAAAGTCTGTTTAATGATATAACACAATGTAAACGTTATGTTTGACATGGTAGTCAAAGAAACGTTTGTTAAGAACACAATAATGCTAACACGAAATGATTTTAATAGTTCATTGTCTAATCGTCGTCGCTATCTTCCTGTAGAACATATTCTACTCTGTCAGCTGCATACTGCATTGTCTGTCTAAGGGCTAGTAACAGTGGGATGTTTGTCATTGTCTCTATATTTCCATCAACCTCATAGTTTTTAACCGGATGAATGGATGCCTGTTCGATGCCAAACACTTCACTTGCTGTTTTAACGGTTTCTTGAACTTTAACGCTCCTGAACATTTTTGTGATATCTCTGGCCACTTCTTCACATAGGTCATCCACCTTAGTCAGAATTAATATACGAGGAACATCTGAAGAAGAGATATAAATAAATGTTGAAAACTTGACATAGGAGCCTATCAAGCTAGCTTTAGTGAAAAGTAAAATCATATTGAGGCATACCTAGACTTATTGTAATGCATTGATGCTCAGCGGTAGGTAACACAAAATCTTAAGACACTTTATCACTGTGCATTTGTGACATAATACTAAATATGTCAACAAATCGGATCTTTACTGCCGACCAATATCAAAATAAATATTGACAGTTTTATGAAACTAAAAAAAAACACAACAACAACATAAATAAAAAAAATGTAAATGTTGTGAACAGCAAACTTTCATATTTCACTCGTGGCTGTGCCATTCGTGAAATATACCCTTTGGTGCTCACTCGGTGAAATATACTCAGATCTTACACTAAACTAAACAAATATCCTATATGTAAACATATCAACAAAAGCTTAAATAAATACTTGACACGATGGCATGTTTGAAAACTCTGAAACATGTTGAACCTCAAATTAAAAGAAGACAAGATTGCGTAGCTAAGAATCATTAGTATGTCAACAAACGATTTAGATAATAAGATAAAAAGAAAATTACGTTCTCGTCTAATTCTATCTTGTAATTGTTTTATCTTCTGAACATAGGCTGGCGGAATTCCAGCATGAATAGTTATTGCACTGACAACAAAGATGACGCAATGCATCTGATCTCGAAATGATGGTTCCTTTCTATATTGCGGGCTTTTCTCATCAATCGGACTTACAGGATTGAACTGCAATATCATGATACAATGTATATCTTATTGAATAACATAATTTATTATATAATCTATTAATATCTTTGAAATGCCTTTCCCTGATTGGCTAACAAGCAACATTTTGGAAATAATAACAGGTCAATATTAGAGTGTATTCACTGTTATTTTCCCTAAAAAGAGATTCAAAATTAGTCTTTTTTAATTACCGTCTTAACATTTTAAAGAACAATACAAATAAGCGTGCCAAAGCGCTCACTTAAAAGAACGAGCCAAATTATGGGAAAAGTAGACAAGCTGAAATATAATGAGTTCCGGCGTATGCAATGGCAAATTTGATAAGCCATATAAAGCTATTTATAAATTATATAGTAAATCAGATACATATAAATACAGATCAATATTATAATAATAATAAAAACAGGTACTTTTTAGCTGTTGAATATGATGTGATATGTACTGAAAAATTAATATTGACGGAGGCGAATATTTTTTTTTCAGTACATATCACATCATATTCAACATCTCACCTCGGTCAATATTAATTTTTCAGTATATGTCAATTCATATGCAACAGCTAAAACGTCCATAGTTGTATATTATTACATAAACCACGGCGCAAGAGTGCTATTTAAGAAAAAATATCGGTCTTAGTGGTGTAGCTATTTAACACCGTGTTGGAGTTTTGATGCGTAGGAATTGACCACGAAGGTCGTAGACCTGAGTGGTTAATTTTTCGGCATCAATACGACAAAACCAGTATATTTACGTCATAATGATATCAGTGCGGGTATGTGAACTGTGAAACTGTAAAATCATCTTCAACATAAAGCAATATTTCTTCAATGAGATTACATACTTGGCATACCAGTATCTTAAGTGTACTTACTCTGTATCCCTTTTTGACGTGCCCTTTGATCAAGAAAATCAAATCATCTGTATGGAAACCATGTCCATCTTTTGGCTCAATTCCCATCGAATCAAACAAACGATATTTCTGTAGTAAACTTCCTTTTGTATAACTCCCAAGCTGTTGATGACAAATTTTACTATTAGACGTACATTTTATATATACGATTTTTGAACACATTGAAACACTTTATTGCAAAAAGGGTTGTATTTACAATACTTTATAAATTTGGATGACATTTTGCTTCAAATCACACTTGCTGTGAAAAACTACGAATTTTAGTGATGTCAAACATTTTCATAAAATGATCATCATACAGTGTTTCAAACTAAAGGACTTTGATATTATGTACTCCTTTCATGAGTGCATATACAATATAATTACAGTCGACTCCACTTATAACGAACTCGCTTATAACGAATTATCGTAAATAGCGAACTAAATCTGACATCCCCGGCCGATTCCTTCTTTATTTCATATTAAATCACATCGCTTAATACGTACTCGCTTATAGCGAATTTTCGGCTATAACGAACCATTTTTTCAAGCCCCAAATGACGGAAAACGTTTAACTTTCCTCGGTTATAACACACTATTATAATTGAAATATCGGGGTGCGCTCGATTAGGATCAGTACATGAAAAACACTATCCGATAATTAAACAATCGAATGATTGCACAGGTTAGTTATTGCTTCAGGGAATAAAGATTTTGAAAAATGTTCTCACAACATAATTTCCTACTTGTTACGGAAAATTTGTATTTCACACCCTCATTTGATTGCTGTAAATACCCAATAATTGCCAAGTAATCGATTTTTTTTTGTGTTTGCAATATTAACCAAACGATAATAAACAAATAGCAAAAGAAAACAAATGGTAATAACTTCATAGACAATTAATACATGAATAAATATATGTACCATGTACATAATATATTGCTCAATAAAATGCCCCGCGTGCAGTAAAATACACCGGTAACCAGTGAAGAGTATGGCTTTTTCAAGGCAAATTTCCCCATCCAAACAAGTCAGCAAATTGTTGCTACTTCGCTTTTAGCGAACTTTGGATATAACGAACGATATTTTAATGTCCGATTGAGTTCGTTATAACCGGAGTCGACTGTATACATCTTGAAAAAAATTAATTTTAGACTAAGAGGAATGTTTTTTGACAACTATTTGTACATTTTTTTTGTATAAATTTCACATTTTGAATGTTACACATTAATACGTTACACGTTTGTTCATTACATGTTTACACAAGAGACATTTGTACATGGAAAATGTGTAAACTATATATTAAGTAAAACCTTACATCTAGTGTCCAGCTCGCATCCCCCGTATCGCCTGTAGATGCAAGTGCACATTTTCGTCCTTTCCCAATGCTTAAAATGGAATTGATATAACTAGATTTTCCTGCACCAACCGGACCTAATATTAACAAATTCGGCTTTTCCTCCGGTTCAAGTTGCCTGATCTCGGTTAATAAAGCTTTCTCAAACTGTAACAAAATACAGATAATTCTATATACGTTTAATGATCTTAAAGATGCATACCTCCAGATGAGTCTAAACATCTTCTAATAATAATAATAAAAACTATAAAAAACTCAAGAACAAATCAAAAACCACGAATATATGGAAGTTGTTGGCAAGCGTGAGATACATAACTTGATATTATATAGCATATTATAAAATGTTAATAAAATGTCGTAGAACAAAAAAAATGTTGTTGATCATATCAATGTTCTTTTCAAATCACTTAAAACGTTTTTAACATTTTTTTCAAGCAACTTTTATATGATAATTTTTTATTGTTTTTATCATCACTTGAAAAACAATTATGGAAAATATGCACATTGTAGACCTATTCACTTTAGATACATTTCCCAAATTTTCATGAAACTTGGCATGAATATTATCATTTTGTTTTTAAGTGTAAAGTACATTTTAAAACATGTATTGTACGTTTGATTCATATTACAAAAATATTGTTAAGTTAAATCATGAAATGTACACTTGAGAAACTGCATGATCACCTGGACATGGTTATCCAGTTTGTACTTAATGGATTAAATGAAATGGTAACAAAAAAGGTCATATGTTGACCAAATTACCATCACGTAATTAAAAAAAAAATTCTATGTTAAATTTATCATCGCATTATACAGTTAATTTCAGTTATTTTCTTCTTTTCTTGAAATTTATTTTGAAAAATATTCAATTAACTTGTGTCTTGTTTAAGACCATTGCAAATTACTAAACCGTCGTATAAAATTACATTGCTATAAAGAAATCAATAACAAGATTGATTTTTCAAGTTTAATAGCATACGGGGTCCTAAAAAGATAGACAACAGGTGACCGAAACAAATTAAATCAAATCTAAGCCTTCTTCGAGTTAGATATGTGTTAATCGAACTTACCTCTGCGCTCCAGCCCGAAAGTGTCCTCCATGGGTAATCAGTGAGTTTCTTCGGCGGTGGTGGTGGGGGTGCTAAAAAAGTAAATAAAAGTTAACTTTCAAGCTGAGTTATTAAAACATTTGACGTGAATTATAAACTCAATCACACGAGTAAGCTTGTATATATGTGTGTGTATGTTTTTCTATCATTAAAGAAAATTTCAGACTTAAGTAAGTACGAAATATTGAAATCTTGTCACATGAATAAGCCCCACTACAAAAGACAAAAAAAGAGAAAAAAAATAACTTTGCGAGATTTGCCAAATACGAGTGTATACCTTGTGCCAAAATATCTGTTTTAGAAATTTAGGAGACAGGTAATGAAAGTACACTTATTCCATCTATCTAATAATGTTATTTAAGAAATAAAAGCTACTTGCTTACCTTGTGTACCTCAGATATCCCCACCCGTCAAAAAAAAACAAAAAAAAAAAAAAAAAACAAAAAAAAAAAAAAAACAAAAAAAAAAAAAAAACCCAGACAAAATAACGTGTTATCTTTTATCTTTTTCTTAAATAGTTCTGGTAAGATATAAAGTTAGAATGACAATTAATGAATAAGAGATTTATATGAAAATATGAAAGAAAATAAGCGAAAAAGATCTATTATAGTTATAAAGAAAAAGATAAAAAAGAACAAAACGTAGTTCATCATTTATAAGTATGCTATACTTTTAACCCTATTTTTGTATTTGAAATTAAATATTAAAAACTCAGTAAATATTAGAGAATTAAATATAGTGCTTTACTTGATTCGCTACTTCCCATCCTTCTAATAAGTTGTGTTTTCGCTGCTCAGTCTTTCAAATATATGAACGATTTACAGGCGGTTCACACTATCAAGTCCCCAGTCTTGTGTCAGTCGACAGAATAAAAGCTATTTTGGCAGAATGTCCTTTTATCGCAAACACGTAAGAATTATCAATGCAAAACACAGCTGATCTTGACAATGTTTGTAAAACAATATGCATACAGTAGAGCTTATAAGCAACGCGTAGCTGTTGAGTATCAAAGTTACATTATTTCTGAAAATGAAGATACACTTAACACGCGAAACTGAAACTACTAGACGAAACCGATACATTCTAAGATATTCGGAAAATGTTTTGTTTTGGTTTCGTGGAATAAGAAAGTGAAAGTACAACCAGTTTTAAGAAATTTCTTCTAATGTAAAACCTAGCTAGGCTTCATAACATTCGAACGATTGGAACTGAATGAGGTAACAGTTTAATTCTAGATTTTTTATTTATTTAATAGAAAATTCAACATAAATTTTATAGATATAGTGTACGTTATATTTATGATTTTAAGACTTTAAATATAAAGTTCCTTTCGACAACTATTTCAAGCAATTATTTTAATATTAAGAAAATCTTCCAAGAACAAATAGGCATTTAACTTCAAAATTATTTTTTAATTGTGTTGAAAGGTAATTGTAACTTGATAACAGATAGTAAATCTTAACTAAAATTATTTTAAAATCATTGTAGTAAATTATCTGGAAAATGGTGTTATCTGCTACTAATGTGAATAAGGTTAATCAGTTTGGCCATATAAAACTGCAAAGCATTTATATTAAATTTGCCTTATGTTCTTTTATATTTAGAGAACGAACCATTGCGTGGTATTTGACAGACAAAAGAGTATTAAGTGGTTTCTATTTTGATATTTACTGAGAAGCGTTTATTAAGTGAGGTTCTTAAACAGGACTATGGATATCAAAGTAAGTAAGTTTTATATTTTGTTTCTCTGTAGGAGCACTGTCATTGAATTTTGATGTTTTCAAGAACAATTATCTAATTTTTTAAGCATCATTGAACGCTTTACCACCAAATGGAGACAATCTAAGCATGTTCTATGTAAGTTACTTTTTAGCTCAAATTTTTGCCGCTGACTAGTTTACAGCAAGAAATTTCTGGAAAATTCAACGAACTTTTACCGAAGGACTGGTTACCAAATTATCTGTGCATGTAAGCACTGTGCCAAATCAATTTAAAGATATTTGAACTTATAAGGACTCCATTGAAAGCTTTACATTTATGCTATATCCTCTTCCACAGCAACTTTTAGAGTTTTGTATAAATTATGTACTTTGTTTTACAGACACAATTTCAAATCATTTTGACAGAAATGACACAGATCATTAATCCTATTCAAGACGACAGTCAAGTAAGTAATGTGTAATTTTATGATATGATATTTTTCGGTTCATGCTTTAAACACAGTTATTATCGTGTTTATAAAACATGTGACTTTTTTTAAACTTGTTGCTCTTACACTGACATATCAAGCTGAAGGAAAGAGTATTTTTCATATAGAACAACGTGACCACGGGTAATTTGTAAAGTAACACTTTTTCCGGAATGTAATTACATACCCGTTCCATTTTAAAACGCATATCTTACATAAACTTTGCATCAGTATTGGACATGAAGATAGAGCGGCCTATTTAAGATTCAACCGCATAATGTTTAGCGTTTCTGCTTAATACTACCTTAAATACTGATACTGGTACTGGAATTACTTAATTTACAATGAAAAGTTAAGATTTAATCTACTTTTATAACAAATCTTTTAATAAAGGTAAATAAATAAAAGGTCTTTTGCGTAATGAAAATTCAAACGTAAAAATTGACTTTCATGACTTGTACTTTGCCATTGTTTGCAACAAAAAAGTAAATTCCTTGTTATTTCAGTTTAACTTTTTACATTTACAGTTCCCAATGATTTATCTCTTTTATATTTATCTCTTTAATATAGAATGGATCAGGGTTTAAGTCAGTGCATCTAGTTAGCGAGAATGGGTTGGTGAACGAAGACGCAAGATCTAGACTGGCTTATCTTGTTAACGTAAGACTTTTTCATTGGAAACATAATACATGTAGTAATACACAAATAAAACAAATTTGTTATGCATAAGATATTGACAAAGTAAAATCCCTTTTTGTCAATTTTGATTTTCATGAATTTTATTTTTGATAAAAATATGTAGATAAAAAAACTGTTTAAATACATGTATGGAAAAAGGAACATTGTCAGTTTTAAACTTATCAAGTAAAACAATAAAGGCAAGGCACTTTAAACATTTTTGCGATGAACGATTTTATCAAAAGGATTTAATATGAGTGGCTATGCTATATAAATGATTCTAAGTTGGCGATTTAAAAAAAGACAAAATCACACATGGTGTATTGAGGTGTATTGATCTAAAATTGTTTTGATATAAGATATTTCTATAAAATATTCCTGTCGTCACTAATATTTATAAATAACCTAGCGTTAATTTACGTTGCCAATTAAATAGGAATTGCAAACAATGACTGGCAGTCTTGGTAATAATCAACAACTAGGAAAGTATCAAGAAGGTTCTATGTCAACAGTGCCTACCTATGGGCAAGAAAACGCAGATGTTTCTATGAAAGGCAGGGATACAGAAGTGGCAAATGTCGGAAGGTCGGACCAATCATTCTTTGCATGTGAGTATTCAATTATTATTTCCTTATACTGAGTAAGACTTGTAGGGGGTAAGTAACTAACAATTACATTTCTTTATACAAGATGTTACTTTTATGACACATTATGTGACATTCACAATTTCTTTAAGCATTTTGGTGCACATCTATCATGCTTAGGTTTCATTAGAAAAAGATACTACAATGAATTGTTTCCCTCTTTTCGATGAGACATAGACGAAACATTGGATACATTATATTTTATGAATCATGACCTAAGGGTAAAAATACCTCTAGTTTAAATGTCATAAGGATAATTGAAATGAAACATTACTCAGATCAGTTAACTTATTGGAGTCTACCCTATTTGATAAACTACTTTTGATTACTCAAACTAATTAACATTTGGGCGTGAATTACCCCTCTATTGTGTTTTTTTATTATAAGCTCACTTGAGCTTTGAAAGTCGGTCATCTGTCTGAGGTCGTCCTTCGTCTTAAATAAGTCGTCCGTCCACATTTTGTTTCTTAACACTCTAGTGATCACTTTTTTGCCTCCATTGTAACCAAACTTATAGGAATATCCTGGAAATTAACCAAAAATGATTAGATGATTTCTAGCTCAAGTTCGAATATGAGGAAAAATGGTCAACAACTAGATCAGAGTGCCAAAAAAATTAATAACCCTCTTTATTTTAGCGTTTTTAGATAGGATGTTATATCTGCTTTTCATTTCATAATTAAAAATTTTAATTGTTTCTTTAAATAACAGCCTTTATTATAATTATCAAGTGAGTGATATAAGAGCAGAAATGACCCTCTTGATGTCTTTGATTAAATGTGTTTGCACTTTTATAAGACTTATTTTAATTTAATTTTCCAAGCTATTCCGCTGATTGGATCACGCTTCTCCCAAAAAATGGTGCAGATGTTAATACCAGTTCAAACACCGACGACAAAAGATTTCTCTACTGCAATCACCAGTTTGTGCAAGGATATATCGTATAAATGCATTATATGTTATACGATTGGAGAGTTATGCGACAAGTACCCTCTTGCTGTTATCTGCCCGGTATCTTCAAGGCTCGAGCCAGATGTTGACCTTGCACTTAATGAAATACGGTGTAAGATTTTATCATACGTATTCTTTTATCAATAAATTGAACATTCCATTCAGGTTAGGGTAATTTCTGGTTTGATGTTAAATCTATAAGATTTTTGTTCAATAGAAAATTAAATATAAATTCTAAGTAATAATTGAATTCTAAATTGTTATTTCTGTGTTATGTGCGGCTACAGTTAGAAAAGCATATCTATACTCCAGGTTGTAACTTTAGAATGTGTAATAATAAAAACACCTTTATTTCAGGGAAAGGCCCGTTTGTTGTGCTTCTACTCCATTCCGGTTTAGAGAGCTCTTTACCTAGACTACCATCAGCTTCTAAACTTGCAAATAGGGACAAATACAAGAGTATTGAATTCATTGACATCGCTTATACCATGGAAGCAAAGTTATACAAGTGTCAGATGAATGAGTCTGCAAAACTTCAATTGCAAACATTTTTCGCCAGATTCTACAAGAAGTAACCAAGCGTTTTGATCGCATGACTTTCTGATTTTGTCTACCAGATAAAATTACAATATATTATATGAATGTGACAAAACAGCAAGTTAAAGATGCATTTCTTAATTGTGACCACGCCGAATATTTTAAATAACTTGGTCCATCTTTTAGCAATCATTTTTAAGGAAATATTTAGGATAAGTATTGACTTAAGTACAGACTATGACCGACAGCTGTGTTTTCTGATCTTGGTCTTAACATTGGCATGTGTAGCGATAGTTATTACAAGTGCAAGTTATAAATTAAAATATATTCATTCCGGATAAGATTGAAAGTAAAGTTATTTGCTTACTTGCTGCAAACATGTATCAATGCAGTCATGTGATTTAATGCAGATGCGACACAGACAATGATATAATTCGTTGTTTCAAATTTGTATCATAACCGTTAAACATTAGAAACGTAATTACACTTTTTCGCGTGCTTTTTTTTACCACAATGGTAATTTAAACCTTATACATTATAGAGTGAATGTAAAGTTCAATTAAACTTACTTTGTACTTTGAATAAATAATTGTTGTTGTTTGCGAAAATATTACTAAAATTATTACAATTTATGAATTTGTTTGTTTTGCATGTTCAGCCATAAAAAAGAAAAATTACCCTCCGCATTTTTTGGGTGACCGCAACAATTAAAATGATAAATAAGGCGGGTAATACTCTTTTTATATTTGAATGTCCATAACAATTACGAAAATCACAAGGAGGGCACATCCACATACATGGGTTTTGGCAAAAGGTAAGATTGGTAGCATTACCCACGTTCTTATGTTTCCGAAGCAATATAAAGGATAATAAGAACATAATACCAATTTTTTACATAGGTATTGTCAACAGTAAAAATAATTATGAGGGTAAGACACTCCCTTTTCTTAGGTGTGCGCAACAATAAAAAAAACAATATTGTAGAGTGTATAACCCCTACCTTTACTGCCTGCATCCGTTTAAACAGCAATTAGGAGGTTAACACCATTCCCCTTTACTTAAGTGTGCGCTACAATTAAAACAATAATAGGGAAGGTGACATGTTATTGTATTTTCAAACAGTAAATGGAAATCCCTAAATAGCGTCTAAAGCACCTCCTTAGTTATTTATAAATAAAATAAATTGTTCTGATAAATGGAAATAAAAATGTATCTGACTAAGATTTAGTCATCTGTAAAGAAAGATCAATTTTCTTTGAATGGTATCTTTTCCTGTGTCGGACCTATAAATATCGAAAATTACAAAAAAAGAAAACTGTGTCAACAAAATACATATTTACTTTCCGCTACTTTTATAATTTTCAGAAAAATGATAATAGTATGACAGTGAATAGGTTTATATTGCAAAATCTTTAATTCCATCAATAATTATTTCAAAAGTATCTATTGTCAATTGTGAAATTATTATCTATGAAAAAGTCAATGCTGTTGTTTAGAAATAACAACTAATTCTTAATCTGTTTCAAATCGAAAAAGCCTCATAAGAAAATGACATAACCTCGTCAAAATGTGTCGACTTTGCCGTAATAATTTCTACAACACCACATAAACGGAAAAAACATAAACATAAAACTTTCCATTGACTGCATAGAAAATAAAAATAGGTCGTTTAAATTTTGGCACCAAGCATATTTGTTGTGATCAGAAAAACAAATTATTGTCTTTATATTGATCGTTACTTGCGATGGTAATTATGATAATAATCACAATATATTAACGTTATCAATGTACCCTGTCTTGCAGGCTCATACAATATATTGTGGTCCCTGTCTGTCGATGACAAGCACGTGTAACTACCAATCACTGTACCTTACATATATTTTAACTCGAACCTATCTTGTGATAACAGGAAGTAGACCTGTTTTGGGATAACAGGAAGGAGACCTGTTTAGATACTGTGAATATAATACATATTAAAAATAAACGGCACACAAACAGTTGCTATTCTCGTAGACTTTCATGAAGGTTAATCACAGTTTATTTAAATCCATACTCGATAGAAATAAAAAATAAAGGCACCGCCATATTCTGTGATCATAAGCAAAAAAACAAATTATTGTCTTATATATGTTACTTGATTAAAAGAATTAGATCACAATAAAAAAGAGTATCTTGCGGCTCATCAATAAGTTCCTGTTTGTCATGAAAGCATGTAATACCAATGCATACCTTATATATAAGTCGCACCTATATTTGTAACAGTAGTAGACTGGTATCATATATTTTTCTTTTAACAAATAGCTCAGTATGAATGTTGTAAGACAAATAAGTCTTTAATAAGAACACAATAACGATATAACACGCATTGGTATTTTATATAGTGTTTGTATTTATATTTAATCATCGTCGCCATCTTTCTGTATTCTGTCAGCTGCATACTGCATTGTTTGTCTTAGGGCAAGTAACAGCGGGATGTTTGTCTGAGTTTCTATATCAAAATCAACCTCATAATTTTTGACCGGATGAATTAATGCCTGCTCGATCCCGAACATTTCACTTGCTGTATTTATGGCATCCTTAACCTTAACGCTCCAGAACATTTTCGTGATATCTTTCGCTACTTCATTACACAGCTCATCGACTTTTGTCAAAATCAAGATCCGTGGGATATCTGTAAAATAAATCAGTATTCTTACTTTAACGGATAAGTGTAACTAGCTTTAATAGGTTTTGGCATCACTTACCATTTTACCAGACTAACTATAGGTAACGATGCTAGGTGGATGTGATCACATAAAATATGAAATGAAATATAATGAGGGGAGAGAGTAATTTAATGAACGCAGTCTTCATAATATATTTGATACTTCAATAAAATATAGAAAAATGTAATCCCTTAAAAACTTCGAAAGCGAAAAAAAATGTTGCAGGCTCGGTTTGATTGAGCATGTTCATGGACGGTAATGAAAAGTGCAAGTTACCGTCCAAACCCCATGGTACCGACATAAGCAGATTTCAACATTTTAACAATAAAATGTGAATTTTGAATTTAGAAACATTCGCAGATGTGTTCATATGGAAGTTTTCATTGCGCGTGCCCTATACGAGAAAACAATGGGCGAAACTTAACAAAATGGAGTTTTAAAAGGGAATCAGAGGTTATGAAGCCCCCACGTGTGTTGTCGAATTTATAATAAAAGACAAATATAACTTATTTAGCGTGTCTTCCTAAACCTAAAAAGAGAAACATTAATTAAAATAGCTTAAAATCTAAAATCATTTATATTATTTTCATGAATATTTCTCACACATTTCTGTCGTTTGTTTACTATCCCTTTGCGATATAATTCATGAATCAACATTGCATTTAAGGTTTACTATTAAATAAATTCGATTACGTTGTTAATAAACCATACTCGCAAAATTTTGTAGACTCTCTTGAAAAGTATCAAATAATAATGGCTCATGTCTTTTGGTTTGACCTGTTTAATTAATTTTCTGGCACATATTTAAGAAAAAAAACAAAAAAAAAAACAAAAAAAAAAAAAAAAAAAAAAAAAAAAACAACAAAAAAAACAAGAAAATAGATAAGAAATAAAAAATAAATAAATGAAATTAAATAAAAAAACAAATAAAAAATAGAGGACAGTGATGTCGTTACATTCAACTGATTTGTAGATTGAAAGAAAAAGGAAACACTCTGCTAACTTCACTACATAATGATAGTTAAACATGTACTTGTGTGTCAGTGTCTAATTCGTGGATACGATTCAAGGAACTCCACTGTGACTAAAAGCATATAATTTGAATTTCTTTTTTAGATCGAATGGGGCACTTAAAAAATATATACATAAAAAAATAACAATATACATAATATAGATCAGAAATCGTATTTTGTGTTATTCTTAGCCCGAATTAAGTGAAAAGCACTGCAACGCTTTTAAAACTTTGGACATTTTTTCGCAATTAGAATAATTGTTAAGGTAAAACGGAGTGATCGAATAATCTAAAAAATTTTCACACAAAGTAAATGGTCTAGACCTTTATCCAATGGAGCATTTATTTTGAAAATATAAATTCTTGTCTCGTCATACCAAAAAGCTCAGTGGAATGTAAGAAATGAACACAGTTTTAAAGTATACAAAATACGTACGTTCTCGCGTTATTTTTTCTTGTAATTGCTTAATCTTCTGTTCATACGCTGATGGAATTCCAGCGTGTATGGCTTTTGCACTCATAACAAAGGTAACGCAATGCATTTGGTCTTGAAATGTTGGGTTGTGTCTATAATAGGGGCTAGTCTTATCGATTGGACCGGCAGGATTAAACTGCAATAATATCATAATGTTTAACTAAATGACGTCATTCCTTTATCAATGATATATTTTGTTCATAAACATATGACCACAATATAAATGATTCAAAATATAAAACACTATTCATATCAAGACTTTGAAATAATAGCATATAAGAGCATGACCTTATGTTAAATGTTACAAATGTTAAGCGTTGGTTTTCTCAAAAGACGGACGCTTACATTAACAATTAGTTTAGTCATAGCGATATAAAAATTCAAGTACTAAAAAAACTGTTAAAATCTTCCGCCAGTTAGTTTATGTATCTCTTATCATTTCCTTATGCCCTTTCACAAAGATCAACAAGATAAAATTGCGGCACGTACACCTTTCTAGATCTAGAGGGTCGAACACGATAATGCTTCTTTATTTCCGTTTGCTGTCCTAAATGTTACCAATTAAATGCAAGTGTACAAGTTTCTAGATTGTTAATAATGACAATCTAAAATATACGACTACTAACCCTGTATCCATTTTTGATATGCCCTTTTATTAAGAATGTCAGGTCATCTGTATGAAAGCCGTGTCCATCACTTGGCTCAATTCCCATTGAATCAAACAAGCGGTATCGTCTTAACAAACTCCCCTCGGTATACCGTTCGAGCTGTTAGGGGTAAATCAGATTTGAGTATACAATCTTGAAGACTTTTAGGTAACTACTAAAAATGGATGTTATATATTTCACAAACAATTATGCTTTGGAACATCTATTAAGTATATAAACCCCTGACACAACTTGTTCCTTGGTATATTACACAGGTACTTTTCCACACTGCATTTACCCTATTTATCGTTTTGTACACAACAGATTTTTTTACACATTTTTGTATATGAATACGAATATTAGTACAACCAATATAGTCAACACACTATTTAAATACATACTTCATATACAGTCATAAATTACACGACACATTTATGAATCATATATTAAGGTTTGTTTGTTTAATTGATTTGGTTTAACGTCACACCGACACAGTATAGGTCATATTGCGAGATTCATGCTTTACTGATGGAGGAGCATTATATCAGACACGCGGGCACCTGAGTAGAATCACCGAAGTTCCATAAGCTAGCTTGGTAGATTCCACACATGAAATAATCCAAAGTCATTGTCGGGATTCGAACCCAAGTGGTTTGTAGTCAACGACCTTAACCGTTGGGCCACGGACGCCCGATACATTTATGCATAATTACACATGTACGTATCATTGTACATTGTAATTACATATTTGTATATAGAAATGTGTGCGTTACACAATAGTTCTTACATATTT